CCCTCCGGCGTCCCCAGGGCTCCCGCCCTGCCGCCCCCACCCCGGATTCCGGTGCCCGGGGAGATGAGCCCGCCCGCCACCCAGACGGCCGCAGCCTCTGTCCGGCCCAGGAAGCATCTGGGGGCCAAGGGGCCACTTGCCACCCGCGCTCGGCTCATGTCCGCGTCCCGGCTGCCCGGTGGGGGCCAGGCCGCCCCAGAAGGCCGGCGCCCGCCTCACACACACGGGCACGCGCGGGGGGGACGGGACGGGTGGACGCCAGGGCGCGGCCAGGCCAGGGGACCCCACCGCGGGGGGCACCAGGCGCCACCGCAGAGATCAAACAGCCGGGCTGGGGGCTCACACCTGTCATCCCGGCCCTGCAGTTAGAGGCCGGGGGCTCGGGACTCCCAGACTCCCTGTTCCAAAGACCCAGGCATCTGAGCCATCCGGGGGCTCGCGCCTGGCCCCAGCGGTCGGATGGGCAGAGTGCCAGCGTCAGGAAGCTGAAGGTAGAGATGGGGTCACCGTGGGTCGGGGTGAGCCAGCGGCCACGCACGCACGCACAGGAAGAAGTCTAGACGGCTGTCCAGAGGCGCTGGGCGGGCAGGATGCCCGCCGGTCACTGTGATTTGGGTACGTGGGAGGCTGAGAACGGGAGGGCCGCGAGTCCGTGAGCCACCTCACCCCTGCGGTCCAGCACAGCGCGAAGCCTGCGTCTAGGCAGATGCGGGGCAGATGCGGGGCAGCTGAAGGGAGTCACCAGCGTGCCCGTAACCAGTGCCAGCCAGGGCTGGGCGGGGTCCGGCGGGAGGCGGCAGGCCCCGCCTGGCCAGCCCAAGACTCAGCATCCATCGCGGCCCCGGCCGGAGGGGAGCGGGAGCACGCGCAGGCCCAGCGCGGCGGGACTTGCACAGGGCTCAAAATTTTTGTTTGTTTTTTAAGCCTGTTCTCCTGGCTACTCGGGACGCTGAGATCTGAGGATGGCGGTTCAAAGCCAGCCCGGGCAGGAAAGTCCATGAAACTCTTCTCTCCAATGAACCACCAGAAAACGAAATGGCGCTGTGGCTCAAGTGGTAGAGCGCGCGCCTTGGGCTGACAGCTGAGGGGCAGCGCCCAGGCCCAGGGTTCAAGACCCAGGACTGACCGAAAAAACCTTTCCCCCCTCTACTCACTGTGCGGCGGTCAGTCTTGAGCTGCTCCTGCCCTGCCTCCCGGGTGCTGGGATTGCGGGATCACATCCCGCACGGACTCACAGCGCTCCGGGGCCTGAACTCAGGGCCTGGGTGCTGCCCCGAGCTCTGCCCCCGCCGAGCGCCGGGCTGCGCCACGACCCGCCCGCGCAGGGCAGGGCAGGGCAGGGCTGGCGCCAACGGGCACACCTGCGGCACGTACGGGGACACGCACGCGCGGGCCCCGGCACGGGGAGACGCGGGGACCCGGGCCTGTAGTCAAGATTTATTTTTACCTTTAGTGTGCAAATAAATAGAAAAGGAAAACTACATTCAAAACGGCTGCGGGGGCACGGGGAGCGCCTGCGCGCGCATGCGGGGGGCTCGGCGGGCGGCCCCCAAGGCGGAG